ACAAACACACAATCACAAACACAATCACAAACACGCAACTACAAACACATTCACAAACACACAACTACAAACACACAACTACAAACACAACTACAAAGACACAATCGGAAACACACAACCACAAACATACACACAAACACACAACCACAAACACACAACCACAAACACACAACCACAAACACACAACCACAAACACACAACCACAAACACAACCACAAACACACAACCACAAACACAACGACAAACACAGCCACAACCACAACACAGCACACAACCACAACACAGCACACAACCACAGCACACGACCCCAGGACCCACAAGCAACATCGAGAACTACAATACTAACGACTATGACAACATGCTCCTCACTATGGCATCAAGACAAATGGTTGAAGTGTCATGGTGGGGATCACTCGAAGTAAAGTAATTCTTGTTTTGTTTTTACCGCTCGAGGTGATGCTCTCTTGTGGCATCGCAAAACTCTTTCTTGACCCACCAACAATACATTTGCTAAGACAGTTCTCATCGTTTTCAATATATTCATCTTCTTTCTTTTCGGGTTGCTTTCTGTTTTGGCATGGGTATTCTTCAATCAGATTCTTTTTAACAATTTTCAACACAAAACTCATCAAACGATTTCATTGAGTTAGGATGGTGTTTGTGGGAGTTTGTATTGTTCATAGACAAAATTTACTAGCTCTTCTATGTCTTGCCATTCTTTTGACATAACTTTTCAATTGTTGAATCGATGTAGCATTTGTTTTAAACAACATCAACTATCTTATAAAGTTGTCACATTTTCCAGGACATCCTGTGGCAATGCGGCACCAAGTCCGGACTTGTGATGAGCTAACTTTTGGGGGCAGGCGTTTTTTAGACGTTCTCAACAGAAACTTTGGTTAAACGCATTGAACAATCGGCTGCAGCTGGCGATTCAAACCGACAAACCTTTGCGGCCTCTCAGCCCATAGCGGCGGGCAATTTCTGCCAAAAGCTCAGGTCGGAAGGTGCCCTGCAGCACCGATGTCACACGGTCATCAAAGGTCAAAACTGAAAAATGTATGCGCATGACATGTATGTCACATCAAGACCCCGTTGATCAAACACATGTTGGGATTGTTGGGCATATTAGTCCATATTTGCTCTCAGCAAATTTATGCACAAGCACAGCAGCGACGACTGCGGCTCAACTGGACCACCTGGGCGTTTTGATTTCCTAGCGATCTTGGCTTGACCCTATGACCGACCAGAGCAGCAGCTGGCAGCAAGTGGCAAAGAGCATGTCTAGATGGAACATGGAACGCGCAGGTAGGCAGCGCTCCAGTGGTGTACACCCCCTAGACCAGCATTACTACTCTATCAGAGTAGACAGCTTCGAGAACTATTGCCACTGACACGCACACTGTGCCATGAGTTGAAGAATCAACATCTGTCACAGTGCACTGAGGTGTCAGCTTCAGTGTCGATGTACAAAACCTTGCCAAACCCGGTATCTAGAACGTTCAAAATACACATAAAATATCATAAAAATCAACAATTTACAGTACGCAGGGTGGCTTTTTTATGTCCCAAAAATGGTGACCATATTAACAGCGTCGACTCTGCCGTCTTTCAGAAGAGCCACCTTGCTTTCACCACCTCCCTTGCTGATTGGCAGCTGGCAAGCCACAAGGTGTGACCTCGTCGCATCTTTGCAACAGCTCTAGTCCTAGTAGAATAGATTCGGCGATTCAGGCCTGACATCAGAACACAACTGCGTCTTGCCACAGCGGAAGTCACCAAACACCTGGGCCACGGCTGGTAAGCCCATCTTTCCTCATCCTCTTTTCTTCTGTTTAAACTTGCAAACGCAGAACACAATGCGTCGAGGAGACTAATTCGGCCGAACCAGAAATGGAATCAAATCAATTCCGCTGGCCCGTGGTGATCTGCACCTCGTAAACTAAGGCATCAAGGCATCAACTTTTGAGCTGTTTGTACGGCAAAGATTCTGAGAAAAATTGTTTTTCAAACGCAAGCAGTGCTAAGAATCAAAGAATATCTGAGAGAATTGCGTGAGATTGTTGTGTAAGAAATGAGGTGTAACCCAGGCATTGAGACCCTCCGCGAAGAGATCAAGAACCTGAACCCAAGCTGCGCCTGGATGACAGTTCAAAGTGCTTTGAATCGATCACCATCCCCCTCCACTTTGTAAGTCCCTTTGTTCAAACGAAGGGGCGCATGACGTAAAAGGATGAGTATGTGTTCAGGCTGCCAAACCTTGCAGTCAAAATATTCTACATGTATAAGTATGTAGAAGTCACTGTCTAATACATTACGAAATGGAAAACCAAGCGAGCATCTTGCGTAGTCTCAAACAACAAAAAGAAAGTCATTACCCTGTGTGAGTCCACTCGATCTGTTTCAGTGGAATTATAGTAACCTAATCAGGATCTTTCAGTAGGCATGTCAGCCGCGCGCCTCAACAATCGGTCGCGACGCACTTTGGGGAAGGGCAGCCAAATCACCAACCCTTTGGACGGGAGATCGCGTAAACATAAGATGACCGACCATAGGGGTGCTCAGCTGTCAAGTCTAAATAAGATGACCGAGCACAAAAAACAATTAATCCGCTTATAGTTTTGTACCGATCTAATTCAAACGATCTGATACATCAAGCCCAAGACTCCTGCACTTGAAGCCATGCCAGATCTGAAGCTAAATCACTCCTATAGAGGATGAAGCGAATAAGTCCTTGTTGACGATACATCAGACCTTTAAACATGACTTTCCAACATTTCAGTTTGGTCCACGCCTGCCACATCCAGGTCGTGAACAATCTGCCACTGGAAGCTCTGATGCTAGGAACGGAAAAAAACAAATGGTCAGAACACGTCCAAATATGCATCATGAAGGTGCAATACCAAGTCAATCAATCCAAGTGCAAAACTTCAGCACGTTTTCTTCTTTTAGCTGGGGAGTCACGAAAGGCCACTAAGCGGCTGACCTCTCCAGCGGCTATGGAACTTGTTCAACATGGTGGCTGCGTCTCTAAGCACAACCAAATTGATTGCGGCTTGCACACGCCAGCGCGACGCTGAATTTAGCTTTGCGTCCACAGCCCAGCGAGCCAGCGAGTCTCTGCTCATCCAGACCATGTACAAAGCCGGAAACCCCAGCCAGCTGGACCAACCCAAGCCCAGAATTCTACAGCCCAAGTGAAATGGACTTCAAACCTATTCTCTGAATCAGTCCCTCATGCATTCCCAAGTCAAGAAGTCAAACGTTCCACCATCTCGAATCAAGATGGCAACGGCGAGGCAGCCACACTCAAGCACTTGAAGAAGATGAAGATGACGCTTTTGCCCTGAGCACCTGAGAAACAGCGTGACAAACTTGTTGAAGCACAAGGAAAGATCCCTGGCCACAGGCCACAGGAGCCTCGACCGTGAGAGGCCTTTTGTGCAGCAAGCGTTGAATCTCCTGCGTTCAAGCCGGCGACGTCGAAAACATAGAATTTCGCTACGTCCTCGTGCGCCATCCCGAAAAGCGGTTTCTTGTTCAATGCCTTGGGAGAAACGACCGCGTAAACTCTGAGCGTGGGGCGTGTTGCTTTCGTTTCGCGCTGCTGTCTGTGACTTGGCCACAAGCCACTATGCTGTCTCCAGGCTGCCACTCGCCCTGACCAAATGAGAAGATTGAACAACTTTTGATGGTATGAGTGTCAGAGCGTGCGCCCTCACCGGCCTCCGTCCCCCAAAAGCTCCGGACTTCTGGCCTTACTTGGCTCTGCACCCAGACTTGGATCACATCTTGAAAAGCTCCAAGTCCTTGACAACTCGCCTCCAAACTGCAATGCCATTCCCAAGTCCTGGCTTCTGGACCATTCAACAACAAATCCCAAGCCTAAGTATTCCTCCAACAAAGGCCTGCTGCTGCTCGCCCAACTCAATCACCTTCCGTGATCTATAGTGCGGGCATCGAATGTGGTGGAAATACCTGCAGCCGTTTGGTCATTGCCTGCGCTTGAAGAGAATCCATGCGGGCAGTGCACTTGGCAGCATTCACACACCCATCGGTGCAGTCAGGCAGGCATTGAAGGCTCCTCACATTCAACTGACTGGAAGAATATGGTCCAACAAAATCCATGGTTATATATTTGCTGGAGGAATCACGCAGGCTGTCAAAAATCCCGAATTAACAAACCAAAAAGGAAATATCAGAAGCGTTGAGCGATATAGCTAGCTTTGCAAGCCACAGTTCAGGGGCATGCGTCTCACAGCGCGGGTGCATTGTTGTTTGTCGTGCCTCATGAACCTCATCCGCAACATGTCTGATCTGGATGTTACAATGAGACCCGCAAACATGTTGCAGGTTGCAATAAATGCACCAGTTTGTCAGGATTGAAGGGTTCCTGCAAAGTTCCAAGTGCGGTGAAGAGTTCCAACAAAGGTTGGGATCAGAAAAACTTCTTGTCCAGACAAGGCTGTGGTAGCGTATAAGCTTTTAGGATGAAGCCTCTAGAAAAGTTCTAGGACCGGGGCAAACGGTTCTGTAAAAACGAGGAGGTTCAAAGTGGAAGATTCTGAGTAGACAGCTTCAACAGGAGGTTTGAAATTCAGGGTTTCCAGCCCAGCAGTTTCAAATTCTTAAAGGGCTCTGAACAAGGTTTCAAAACACCTTCAATCGAGCGTGCTGGTTACCCTTGCGTTCTTCTGCCAATTGGTTTTCTTTGGCGGATTTGGTGCAACTAGAGCTCCACGCAGAAGGTTCCACAAAGTCGCGTTTTTGCGTTCTCCGTGCACGAGAAAAGTTTTACGCCGAAAAGCGCGGGTAACAGGCTTCCACTAAAGGTATATAGAAGATTTCACCCAAAGGTTTGAGTAGAAGCAAGGGAGGGAAAGCTGGGGCTCAACTTTTGGATAGTTTCTTTCCCAAATCAACAAAATGACTTACCTTTGGCTTTCTCGCAGCAAAATTGGGTGCAACTCGATGGCAGTTTGCACACAGGCGCCTCGCCTCTGCCAGCTGATGGCGAGACACGACGTTGAATCAGAACTCTCAAGGCGGGCCTTCAAAGGCGTCCATTATTTCTAGGAAATGAAGTTTGAGACCCAAGCAAACATAGCAACAACACCACGAACGTAGCCAGCCTGAAGACGACTATTTTTCTCGATAAGCTCACGGAACAGGGGCCCCACTGCATCCATCACCTGGCAAAGACTTTGGTGGCGGAAGAGGAGGATGATCTGATGATGATGCATCCAGCCTGCGGTGGAGCCCCGCAATGCGCTAAAGCGGAGGTGAGCCGCAACATGTAGTTCTGCGGGTCTCCATGACTTTGCGGTGTAGTCACTGCCTGAAGGCCCAAGGGCACCAATGTCGACCATAATCTCAATTCCGCTAGTTTTTCACCAAAGAATCTTCCTGTTATGAACCAACTTCACTGCCGCATACACATGTCTTTTTCCCCATCCTCCTCAACAATCGTGTCCAACCGGATGGCGGTCGTATGTTCTGCCTTCCCAACCGGCATCGATTCCTGAGAGTGGAGTCAGTCTTCAATGCATTGCAAATGCATGCATGTTTTCACTGAAAGATTCTCTCAAAATCATGAGAGTTCTGAGGAGCCCCGTGCTATGTCACGGCAGTGTCAAGAAACACCTAAATTCTCAACCCTGGGGGTGAAACATGGTGAGCCTCACAATGCGACAACGCCGTGTAGGAAGACGTTCTTCACACCCACTAACCCGGTCTCCCAAAGTCATACAGTCATGCAATTAGGCAAAGAATTGTCCTGAACCCCTTAAGATACTTGAGGACGGGTCGGCCCAATGCCCTTGCGCACTTGGCTATATCACATGGCAACTGCAGCAAAAGCTCAGCAGGATCTAAAAGAGGCAAATCATCGTCTGGAATTTGCACACGGCTAGACCTAAGCGTCTATGCTCAATTTAATTGAGAGCCACACGATTTGGCCAATTTGCTGGTCGTTTTTATTCAGTGATAAAAGGAAGAATGTAAGTCTAGCCTTTAGCGACCATTGATTTAGACAAAGTTTGCAATCTGCTGTTACTTAATGATTGGAAAGACTGGTGGAGCAATCATCTTCGCAAGTCTTCAATTCACATTCGTCGCTGCCGCCCAGGTAACGGAGTCTGACTGTTTGCATGACTGTTGGTCAACGCAGAACAGCCATCCACCTGGAGCAACATGTGGAGGCAAGGTCCATATGACACCTAACTAAGCCAATCAAAAAGTCTGCCGAAATACAAATATTATGTGTATGTATATAATTACCGCAATTGCGCAAGCTAGCAGCTAGCTTCGGCTTGCCGGGCAACCCGCCATATGTCAATTTGTTCGATTTCCCAAAGAGTCCGACAATTCAGGCTTTTCCACTCATCAAGCAACGTGTTGCTCCGACGCAGCATTCCACCCCCACTATCGAGAAACATATCCGTCCACTCACCATCTAGCTAACATGTTTGCTCCTCAGAAGCATCAAGTCCACCACTCCCCCTACGTGTCCAGTTTGCCCAGCTTAGCAATGAAACTGACAAATCCTAGCCTAGCGGCCTAGCCTTTCTGCATACCCGGCCCTAGCCTTCGCGCGACGAAGCTCTTTCAGTAGCAACTCATAACGCTCCCCCAGACGTCGGTGGAGATCCCAGAAGTCGTCCAAATGCGCAGCCCCAAGCGAAGATGACTCATCCGCCATGGAAAACGAAATAGATGTTCTTGTGGCCAAACTATTGAAACCACACTTGATTTCACACTTGCTTTGCGCCAACGCCTTTGTAATGATGTTTCATATGATGTTTCATTGAGTTTGTTGCATCATTGATTGATTTTTGATATGTAAATATGGCGGTTTGAAGAACAGGCACTGTCATTGGTGTCTTTCATTCCTTGGAAAAGCAAAAAGCCGCACCTGCAAATACTGCCCAATCGTCTGGCTTCATCTTGTTTGATCCATTGTTTAGGAACACCACAGGTATGCGCTCAATAGCAGCTCAACAGCATTGCCAGGGACAATGATCACATGTTGCCCGGCCGATGAGAGAGAGCTTTTCTCCATCACAGGCTGGTAATCTTGCGTCAATGCTTGGAAGTCTGTGCGAAACACGCAGAATGACAAGAGACTTGTTGTCTACCTGTCAGGTTCTCTCGCGCTGCACCATCAATCGCTGAAGTCAAAAATATTGCAGGTGTGGTGGTTCCTGAGGCAGGTTTTCTCGGAACATTGAAACTACACCGGCGCACAATCATCTCTTCTCAAGTGAACGCAGCAACAGCCAGGACCACAACTTAGGTGTTCTTTTGTTCTTCGCGCTCAACAAGATGACAGGTGGGACGACAAACATTCAAACTGAGACTCTTAGACCTAGAACCTTCGAGGGGGGCAAGCGTGGGCGACTAAGGGCCATAGCGGCGGCCAGAAGTATTGATAAAAGAGATCACGTGGGAACATAAAGCAATAGCCAAGAGCCGCCCAAAACAGAAATCCAAGAAGGGGACGTGCTGTAACGCTGCCAAAAGAAGCTTCGGAGACAAGGCGGCGGCAACCGAAGAGGAGGCTGGCAATCAAGACACGGGACAATTTTGGGCAGCAGCTAAGAGCAGCCCAGAAGATAATCAAGAAAGGAGACAAGCTTGGTAGACGTGAAGAACGGAGACAAGTTTGGGACAACAGCAACCAAGAGCAGCCCAGCTTTACGACCGATGGATGAATTCGGAAAATCAGCAACTAACAAATTCTACTTCCAGCTGCTGCTCTTGCGCGACGCGCCTTCTTCATCTTCTCCAATAGTTTTTTCCAGCCTTAGCAAAGCAGGTGCCAGAAACCAAAACCTTATCTGCTTCCATTCCGCTCAGGGCGGTGCTCTGCAAATCCAAACTGGCACTGTCAATGGGATCTGGGCCCACAACGGGCAACCTGCACACTCACCCCAAACAAAACAAAACCCGAACTGCAAAGTTAGTTTCAAGCGCGCCACACCTCTTCCTATCAAGATTGCATAGGAACTGGAAAATGCGCGTAGCTTCAGCAGTGTGCGCCTAAGAGCTTCCACTGGTCATTAAATCCACGAATCTATAGCACAGATGCGACCAAGCTACGGGGTTTCTATCGGGGTGAAATTTGAACTTCAGTTCCTTCATGGTAGCGCCATTGGCAAGGGCCTCTTGGACGAAGGCCTTGACATGGATTTGGTTTGTAAGATAGTTGACCGCTCGTGAATTCGGTTTGAAAACTGAAAAAAATTGAATGTACCACCGACGCCTCCCCGTGCTCCCAATCCACTGCCTGGGCCGGCAGAAATATAACAGAACGGCAGCAAGGTCCAACAAATCCAGATGTCCGAACGACATAGGTAGATAGATCGACGCAGACATACATACTCGCATACAGCAAACAGATAGGAAGAGAGATAGTTGAGCACGAAGAAAGAAAAATATAGATTAGATCGTTCGCTGGCTTAGCTGATTTGTTCAAGTCGGTCGGCTGGTTGGTTGCTTGCTTGCTTGATTTGCCATAGTCAGTCAGCTACTTAGCTCGTTCGTAAAAACAATTGCTCGCTCGTTCGCTAGTTTGCTAGCTGCCTGCCGTAGGTCTCTGCATAGTTCCCCACATCTTAGTGTGGGGTTCTTCTTTTCTATCTCTCATCCGCCTCCCGTCCGCCGCGTCCGGCCGCCTCCCGCCCCCTCCCTCCACACCGAGACAACACACACAGAGATCATCCTCCCTCCACACCGAGACAACACGTACAGAGACAACACACACCGAGACAACACACACACAGAGATCACACACACAGAATTCGTGGCACCACGCACACAGAGATCACCTCCATGCTCCGCCGACCACGCAACACCCAGAGCCTCTAACGCAGCATGGAGGTTCACACAGTGCAGATTTCGTGGCAGGCACAGCACTTTGTGAACCTCCATGTGCAGATTTCGTGGCAAGCGCAGCGCTTTGTGAACCTCCATGTGCAGATTTCGTGGCAGGCACAGCACTTTGTGAACCTCCATGCGCAGATTTCGTGGCAGGCGCAGCGCTTTGTGAAGCTCCATGTGCAGATTTCGTGGCAGGCGCAGCACTTTGTGAACCTCCATGTGCAGATTTCGTGGCAGGCACAGCACTTTGTGAACCTCCATGTGCAGAATTCGTGGCAGGCACAGCGCTGTGTGAAGCTCGAGGTGCAGACTTCGTGGCAGGCACAGCAGTTCGCGAACCTCCATGCGCAGATTTCGTGACTTCGGCTGGAATGTAAACTGATGCAGTTTGCAAACGAACTGTGTGCTCACTAGCGACATTAGCCAGTGTGCCACAGTTACAGTTACAGTGAGCCTGACAGTTCCTTTGGAAACCTCGTACATCCGCCGTGCACATTACTCTCCCACACCTCTCTCCCACCCCTCTGTTGTGTAATTCTGATATAATTCCTGACAAGGCCATGTTGTAGAAGCTATTGAGACTCTGACTGCTTTGTGCTTTAGAAACTTAAGATCCGTAAAGATTCATGTGTGGGGTTATCCGGTCCTTTAACTATTTTGATTAAATGGAACCTTTAAATTGCAATCCTACCACAGTAGAAGTTTGCTTTGGAAGCTGAAAAGTCTGCTTCGGAAACTCAAGAATTTGCCTCATTCAGATCATATTAAGCAGCGGCACTTCAGAAGGACATTGAGAAAATCCATATGCGTTTGTTCCCTTACAAGGGCAATTACGAAACATGTGAGGAAGTGTTTTGTCAATGACTGCCCGGGCTGACACGCAAAAGCAAGTGCTGAAAGGTGCTTGTGGCTCTGGGTCATTGACTGGATCTTCCTGCTCCCTCTTGGAGGCTTCCTGCTGTTGAAGAGATGATTTCAGGTGTAGCACCTTGAACAGGCACCAAACAAATGTGTTCAACAGCTTCGTATGAAACGCATGACTTTTTTATGTGACACACCGCCGACCTCTGATTTCAGCGCATGCTGGGTATGCACATTGGCACACTCTGAGTGCCTGGGAAGTCCGGCCAAACGCTTTGGATATCATGGTCATTTCAAATCTGCAATTGTTCCTAGTAGCGATGCACTTGTTCCTAGTAGCTTCTTGTTACTACTAGTAAGGCAGCAGGCACTTGTTACTAGTAGCGATGCACTTGTTCCTAGAAGCTTCTTGTTACTACTAGTAAGGCACTTGTTACTAGTAGCGATGCACTTGTTCCTAGTACCTTCTTGTTACTACTAGTAAGGCACTTGTTACTAGTAGCGATGCACTTGTTCCTAGTAGCTTCTTGTTACTACTAGTAAGGCACTTGTTACTAGTAGCGATGCACTTGTTCCTAGTAGCTTCTTGTTACTACTAGTAGGGCACTTGTTACTAGTAGCGATGCACTTGTTCCTAGTAGCGATGCACAAGTTCGGTCATTTCAGTTCTGCTTCAAAGATCTGAAAGTGTCGAGAGAGAAAGCTTCTGAAAGTGTCGAAAGACCTAATTCATATCGAAACATGCAAATCACGGCAAAATGGATAAAACGAGGATTTGCATCACATCTGGGTTTGAGCTTGCCACAAATTCACCACTCTTTGAAGCTTCTCCCTCTCCTTGAAAGAGCAACCAAAAACATCGATCGATCAGCTTGCAAGTCGGCGAAAACATGCGAAAACCATAG